AATGTTAGTGCACTCGAGCCGGTTTCTGAAACTTACCTACCCCACCTTTAAGAGGCTTATATTAGCTTATTCGTTATTCTCGCGTCCAGGAGAGAAGCTTTAAAAGTAAGAGACAATGGAGTCTCTGAGAAAGGTTCAAATGGGTACTTTAATTAAAATGGCGCGGTAATGTTACAATCAGAGATATGAGAGGCTTCTCAATTCTTACATTTCCCCTCCTCGACTCCCCCTCCTCGAGACCCCCTCCTCGAGACTTAGTCCCGCCCACAGGAGATGCGAGCGGAGGACCGAGGAGGGGGACCGAGGAGAGAGGAGGGGAAGCAGCAGACGTTTAAAGAAATGAGAACTCCTCTCCTCTGAGCGGTCATATTAAAGCGACGTCCGTTCATTATTACGTGGCAACAGCTGCATCAGCTGTCGAGTGTTTGTCAATAGCGCTGTATTTTATAATCTCTGTTAGATCAGCTGAACATTGTTCCCCCACATATTTACTTTTAATTCAATTTGCAACAAGGCATAGTATGTCAAGAATGTATGAATATGTATAATGTAACACATAGGCCTGCATCTCTTCTGTATTGTGGCGCACTAAAATATTAGTATGAAAATACTCAAAGTGCTATATATGTTTGATATATTTACACATGCACACACACAAACGCCTAAAAAACCCAATGACTGTCTATACACTATACACAGTATGTTTACCTTTTAAACTAGTATAGGCTTAATGACATGATAAGTCATCAAGTCACACATCTTTGACAAAACACCTGCACCAAATTTCTAATCAATTACCAAATCATGAGGGACCTGACAGGCTATATAAGGTCCAGGCACACCTCTGATTTATATTCTCAATATTGAGAATGAAGACTGCAATACTGTGTGCCTTATGGCAGTGGCACAAGCTACAGAAAACAAAATACCGTGAGGAAAGACGCCGTTCCCAGCGCTGGAAAGCGAGAATGCGCAATGCCATCCTGCTTCATCTTGAGGTATTTATGAGTGTTTGTTTACAAATGTTTGAAATGGTTGAAAAATAGCTGGCTTTTTTCATTGGAATACAAAAATTACCAACTACTTGTAGCAAGACAATCATGACACATATAGGCCTAAGCCAGAGAGTCAGAGAAAAAGCATGTTTGTCAAAGAGACAGTTGTGTTTTGGATGATGTAGTTGTATTTATTCAAGAAGGGACCATGCACATTAGTTAACACGAGCACTTGAGACCATCAAATGTGCCAGATTTAGCCATGGCTTTATTCCTTATGACAGAATATTTATGTGCAGTTTAAATTGCGGGATAAAGGTATTGACCTCTGTACATGTTATTCTTCCTGTAGGTTCAGCACCCACACTCTCCCAGCATGTACAAACGTTTGAACAGCAGTGTCCCAGTGCTTAAACTGTACTTCGAGGGTGATGGGTGCCTGCTGAAGGACTTCAGGATGACACCACATGACTGTCTTGACGACCGTGTACTGGCTGGCACACGGTTTGTCATACAGTGTGTTGTCCCGGGCCTTTCAGGTACCCCTCTCCACGGTCCACAGACTGGTCCACCAGGGAGTGGAGGACATCGCTGCTCTCCGGCATTCCCTCATCAAGCTGCCTGCTGGTCCAGAGCTGGAGGAGGTCGGGCAGGGCTTACAGTAGTTGGCCAACAGCCCGGCATTCAGTTCCTGTGTGGGTGCAATAGACGGGTGCCACATACGCATCAGGACCAGTGGCGCCGGATTCATTTCAGAAGTGGGGGGGCCAAAAAGTGCGTGTGTATGTGACATAGCCTACTTGCCAACCCTCCCGATTTTCGCGGGAGACTCCCGTTTTCCTCCCGGGGTCATATTCTCTCCCGCATTTTTCCCGATTTCTGACTAAATCTGATTTGTTTCATTCTAACATAACGCACCAAATGTTACCGTTTCCACTCGGACTTCAATACAGCTACACCATTGTTTGGTTTTCCATGGTAACGTGTCTCTTTAGTAGCGCGAGCAAATTAAAGTCTGAGAGGGTCTTCAGGAGGAAGATAGTCAGAGAAAACAGAACAAGAATGGACAACTCAACCCTCTGCTCACTCCTTTCCTGTAAATTAAACTATACAGACCAGCCCACACATATGACAGCGCAGTTGCTCATTCCATCTCTTCTTTTTTCCTGCTACTCTCTTGTTTGACAAGCTGAATGTTGACTGGTGTTTGACTGAAGTAAGCTCTGTGAAAAGCTCCAGTTATTAACTCGGTATTTACAAAGCTGTTATCTCCACATTTGGAGAAAGTTACAAGCCGTTTGACAGCAGCACATCTGCATATTTCACAGAAGGCTCGTTTAGTGGTTTTGCAAATAATTAACCACTCTCTGTTTTTGTACCATTCTGCATTGAAGTAACTTTCTCTTTGCCCAAATAAGCTTTTATTTGCCCGTCACAATGTCCCGACAACAAACCTCCATGCAGTCGAAACCAGCCTGTTTCGGTTCAACGATGCCGGCGGCGGCGGTTTTGACAGCCTCTGCGGCCGCAGAGCTGCTACTGGGGTTCATCTGGCTGCACTGGTTCTATGGTTGAAGGACCAGGCTCCGGAGTGTGGATGTCAGGGATGTGACATTCAAGTTGTTGAATTTTAGCTTAGTTTGACTGTATTTAGTTTTCTTATGCGCCGGTTCTTCTGACATGTTTGCAAGTTTATCTATCTAGGTTAACGGCTGACACACACTGAACAACGTAACACATAACGTAAACAACGTAACAAATAAACACATCTAAGCTTTGTTATTGGTTGTAATGTACATGGATACATTTGAATGGTGTGACAATGTCCTATTTGATTGGATTAAAATGTACATATTCTTCCTGTTATGTCTGCCTGCTGTATTTTACCTAATGCAAAGTGACCTGCTGCTCCATCGAAATCAGTCGCATTGATCCGAAGACACATTTTGAGTTGTATACACTGTTGGAAAGAGGAGATTCCTAGCTTTCTAATGATATCAGGATTGTTTTTGTACTATATTAAGCAAAATATGTCACATTATATAATGACTGTCACCGAGTCATCATTTTGAGAAAAAGGCCTTAAAAGTTTCCTCTTCTCTGGATCGATCTGAAATACTACGGTGGGAAGATATTTTCGTTTGGATTACTGGTCTGGGGGAAGCTCGCGAGTGTGTGTGTGTTTGTGTATTTTTGCGTTTTTTTCCCGGGGAAAACTCTCAGGAGAAACACCGGCTGTTGTTATGCCTGCTGTGACGTCAAGTTACTCCGTTCTCCGCTTGTAATTATGCCGTTAAAAGCTTTAAAGCTGTATTTATCATCTGAATTTGCCGAAACAAGTTTAATATTCTGAAAGCCAAGACTTTGTTTATTTGAAATCAGATGAAAACAAACTGTAACGGACCCTGCGGTGTTATCTATGTTTACTATGCCTAACATTCATAATGTCAGCGGAGGGAGGGGAAGCGGCGCTGCGGAAGAGCAGAGTGGCGAGTGAGAGGCGACCTGTGTTCTTCCCTTTACAAGCTTCAAAAATGCCTGTAGCTAATGAGATTGAATATAACAATCAAAAATAACAAAATATACACAGCTAGATCAGATGGCGTTCTTTTTAGATGCGACTTTAGAGTAGAGGGGAATTATTGAAACGGGATGTGTACAGTGTTCCGCGGCATCCGCTGCTGCGAAAATGTGGGGCAGAGCCGCAAAGTGGGGGAGGCCAATGGCCCCCTGGCCCCCCCGCTTCCGGCGCCCTTGATCAGGACCCCATCCGGACCCACTGGCCAGGATTACGTGAATAGGAAGCTCTTCCCATCCATACAGCTGCAGGCTGTATGCGATGGGAAGGGGAGATTCCTACAAACATTTGTAGGATTTCCGGGCTCAGTCCACGACACCCGTGTCATGAAGCACAGTGCCCTCTATAAAGAGGCTCTTTATCCTCTTCCAGGGTACTTCATTGTGGGGGATGGTGGCTACCCCTGCATTGTACACCCTATAGTGATCGTAACCCCGTATCGGGAGCCACTGCAGGGGAGGGTACAGAGCCGATTCAACGGCTGCCATGCAAAAGCACGCAGCATAATAGAGCGCGCTTTCGGGAAACTGAAGGTGCGATGGAGGTGCCTCCTGTCGAAGGCCTTGGAGGTCAACCATAACTTTGTCCCTGCTGTGGTCACTGCCTGCTGTGTCCTACACAACATCTGCCTTACTGCAGGAGACATTCTTGAACTGTTGGAGGAGGAGGAGCAGGAGGGGGTAGAGAGGTCTCCACCTCGTCCTGTGAGGGGGGAGCGAGGTGGACAGGGCCGGAGAGACAGACCAAATATTGGCTCCTGACCACAACCCAGTCCAGCTGCAGGACCACGATTACTGCTGAGAGGATATGTATTTTTGGCCAGTTTTTTTGTTACCCATTAGTTTTGTTGACAGGTTAAAAATGCATTTACTGGCCAGATGCATTTCTCTGTTCTTTTGTTTGTGCCATGTATAAGCCTTGTTTCCAATGTCACCTTGCTCACATTTATTTAGAGCAAAGGACTTTACAGACACATGTCTTTATTACAAATTGTATGCGATGTGAAATAGGCCATCACAGAATTTCGTCTGAAAGTGTTACGTTTAGTGTTGAAATCGAGTCATGTTCAGTGATAAAATATTGGTATGCTTTGACTGAACTTTAAAAGAAAGAAGATACATGTGTTAGTAATTGTAGCTACTTATAGGGCTTGAACGATGCAGTAACTTGACTAAATTTGTATTGATTTATTAATAAAACATCCCTGATATTGCATTTGGATAATTTACACACGGTTGGTTTAGGCGCAGAATTATTTGAGGAGATTTACAATTCAGAAATTAAAGTGGTCATTATGAGTTTCAGTATACCTTGGGTTGCACAATGAGTTTAAAAACGTTGGCTTTTTAGTCATGTCACAATCATAACATATTGAGCTTTGTATAAAATAAAGATGTCCTTGTATATTTTCAGTAAACATGGGTTGGTTTTTGTTCTGGATTTAACGACAAACTTAATTTTTATTCCAAACTTAAATATTTTCATAAACTTCACACAAAACAATATAACAAATCCAAACCAAACGAAAAACAAAGAACGGAAACTATTCTTTTCGAACTAACGCTTCAAATAAGTCGAGGAATCTTTTGGAGGTTTCCTCACTGGCTGCCTGCTGGCGGTTGAAGCGGTCCCCCTCGTTGGCCGCCTCCGCCTCCAGGAACTGCAATAAACTGCGTTTTCTTTTTTTTCGGGGAGGGGGACCGGCAGAGGTGGATGGCTCAACATCCTCCTGGCTGTCCGAGCCAGACTTGGCGGCCTCCTCATCCTCCACTGTGGCCTGGCTCTGGACAGCCTCAGTGGATGTTGAGCCACTGCCAGAAGCAACAGCAGCCGAGTCCATCAGGGTGGGAGGGTCGATGGATGGCCTCCCATCGATGGCCTCATGCATGGCCGTAAAATATGGCCATGTGGCTGCTGTGGCCTCTCCCCTGTCGGTCCCTGTCCCAGTTGGGGGGCATCTCAACTCCTACAAAAACAAGAAGTAAAGTTATACATCAGCATGCTGAGCAGACACAACCATGGTTACAGACACACAAGAGTAAACGAAAAAATGACAACATAATTACCTTGTATTTTCGTTTCAAGTTGTCCCACTTTTTGCTGATCTGTGTGGGGCTTACAGAACCGAATAGCCCAAGGGCCTTTATTTATTTATTTATTTATATATTTATTTGGCAGGGACAGTGCACATTGATTGACATTTCTGTAAATGCGCCAGAGTTAGCCAACAGGCTATTTTTCGTCTGTAGTCCCTGGACAGATGTTGTTTAGAATTTCCCTGCGTGATACAAGAGAGGTTTCAAGCTGGTCAGCAATTAATATGGTCTGCAGCAACAGGTGCATATATCAAAGCAATCGATATTTAAACTCACAGGTTCAGCAGACAATATGAAAATACAAATTGTAACCACCAATACGTAAATGCTAAGGATCAGATGTTCCCAACCAGGAAAATGTCACTCACTCCCAGGCTTTCTTGGCAGTGTGCCTTCGGCCTGTGAAAAGCTCGTCATTCTCGACCCTCACTTTAATAAGGGTCAGTGTTTCCTCCTCTGTCCCTGTGAAAAGACAAAGTAAAAAGGTGTAGCTTAAAACTGTTGGAAGATTTACCGACTCTGTAATGAGCAATTGATTCTAGTGTATATATAACAACATAGCCCAAATCAAATGATAGTGCTGAATGCTAAACAAAGTTCGTGTTGATTAATACTCTTAAAAATAAATAAACGTTTGCCCTTTTAAACATAGCATGCTGTAGCAGGATTGGGTGTAGTTAAAATGTGGATACAAACATAAAGAATATCAGGTGAAATGTCAATAAGGAATGTGGTTAGAAGGCTCTAACTGCATACAGACGGGCGGAGTTTGATCGCGCATTTCACTTCTTAAATAACTAATGCAACGTATCATTGTCAACACTTACACGTGTGCTTTGCTCCCGCCATGGTTTTTAAATGAATCCAGCGGTGTGTCACGCCTCTTTTATACTCCACCGTTCCCGGAAATGCATCCGCGGAGGAGCCGTGGAGGAACCATCAGTGTATCCTCGGTTATAGCTCCTCCAGAGAGCCTCCTCGACGCTCGATCCTCGGTGTGCATTTCGAGAAATGAGATGTCCTTCAAAATGGCGCGCTGAAATTCATTTCCGGGTCACTACCGGAGGACCGAGGAGTCGAGGAGGGGACATTTGAGTATTGAGAAGCCTCTATGGTTGTGTTCTCGGGTTGCCGGGGGTGAAGGAAAAGAGAGCGAGAAACAGCACTTCAGCTGTTTAAATATTCTCCGATGGCTCCTCCTTGTATGCCGGTTGGCGCTGCTGGGGGCCGGCCCTCCAATCGTCTTCCATGTCCGTTGTTGCGCATAACAGAGGACTCAGCCATTGTACATTCAATTCATAACTAAACACACCTATTCTCTTTCATCACTTTTCATTTATTGCATTTTAACGGCTTCAATACTTTAATAATACTGGAAATACTTTACGACAGTTATCATTTACGGTAGTTCCGGATGTTGTCATACCAACTCACGTCTGTAAACAAAACGTATTAAAATAAACTGTACCTTCATTTAATATTCAGCAATAATAATATCTCGACGTCTATAGTTGTAGTGTTAAAATCAGTAGGTTTCGGTGTGCAACACTCCGTGTCATTTCACTTCTATATTCACCTCTATAGGGTGTTAGAAATTAAAATCAATGTTTGATAGCATAAAGTAGCTTAAACATACCGTCAGTTTAAATGCTATTTTATTCTGGAAAAAAACGGAAGTTCTCAATACCAAGCTTTTATTCTGAAAATCCTTCATCTCCGGTTAGCATTTAGCATGTGGCTAATATATCATTTCCTATAGATGTGAATTTAGCAGCGAAATGACATGGAGTGATGCACACCGAAACCTACTGATTTAAGGCGAGACACCCCAGGTGAATAGGGTAATTTTTTTAACTTAAAAGTATCAGCTAGAAATTTCTCCAGTTAATTACTTACAATAAGGCAATTGTTTTTTGTATTACAAGTTTTCTGAAATAGCATGTTTAAATATGCAAATTATCCATTATCTCATTAAATATGCACATATTTTAACACATTTCAGGAATCGAAATCTGAATTTTGGATAAAGCCAGGTTAAAAATTATTGTTTCATTTTGTAGTCATATTAGTATCTAAGGCTTTTACAGAAGGGATATTGGATATCTCTTTTTATCACTCCATAAATCAGAAAATACTGTCAACAGCCCTAAAATATCAATTTTCGCCATGTTTTTAGGTATACAATGTTGTATAATTCAGGCTATGAATGATATATGAACAAACCCTTCTGTAAAAGCCTTCATAATATTGATAGGAATATAACTGGAAGGTTTGGTGTATGTACGTGCTACTGAAGTTGAAATTTCGAACTCAGAGTAGGAGAAAAAACTCATTTTGAGAAAACGACCTTTAAAGATTGCAGTGAGGCGCTAGCTAAACCCTCCTGTTCTTTGGATGACAGCTTGCGTATCGACGCACTCCGTGAAGGTATTTCATGTTCGGGGTCATTTGTTTTTTGTATAACCTTGCTTCGTGCAAGTGACAATTGTTGTCGTCTTCTCTGTGAATGTTTTTTTCGCCATTCTTTTGCCATTTTGAGATTTCAATTTCTAGCGGAAAGCTAACCAGGAAGTGTTTTAGCACACCACGTGACGCATCTGAACGAATCACGTTGTCAGAAATTGACACCAGCCAATGAGATTTCGTTTCTTGGTTTAAGACCCCTTTGTGCTTTCACGATTGGTTGCTGATACAAAGGAAATGACCATATTTGGATCTGATGAGATTGTGCAGGAGAGACACAGCTTTCCAACGATATCTCTGATGACATGATGATTTTATATCTAGATCTGGGCTAGGTTTAATTCATTTAAATGTGCGTAGTCTGTTACCTAAATTAGATTTTGTCCGTATTTGGGCGAGTTCGACTGATGCTGATGTCATTGTCTTATCAGAAACGTGGCTAGATAAATCCATTTTGGCCTCTGACATTTACATAAATGGTTACAGTGTATATCATACTGACCGGCCTAAAAAAGGTGGTGGCGTTGCCATTTATGTGAAAAATAAGTTTTGTGTAACTAATATGGTTTCCAAATCTGTTAGTAAACAGCTAGAATTTTTAGCCGTGAATATTGAGGTAACAAAGGGTCAACAGGTCATGGTGGTGGGCTGCTACAGGGCCCCCTCGGCTGTCAAGGACTCTTTATCGTCATTGACAAAACTGTTATCACAACTTTCCTACAAGGAAATAGTGCTGCTTGGTGATTTTAATTGGGACTGGTTAACTTCTGTGTCAGAGGACTTTAAAAACCTGTGTACCTCTTTGAACATTACTCAGATTATAGACAGTCCTACTCGCCCAAATATTAAGTCCCCAAATAAATCCTCCTTAATTGATCTGATTTTAACAAATGTTCCACATAAATACTCATCTGTGGGAGTATTTGCTAATGATGTGAGTGACCACTGTGTTGTAGCCACAATTAGGGACACTAAGGTCCAAAAGGTTAAACCACGTATCATCACAAAGAGAGACAAAAAACACTTTGTGGAGCAGGGTTTTTTACATGATCTGTTTGATTTTGATTGGGGTAAAATCAATCTGTGTGCTGATGTAGAAACTGCATGGTCTTATTTTTATCTTGGTTTTATGGAAATTATAGATAGACATGCACCTCTGTGTAAATTTAGAGTGAAGGGACGAAACAATCCCTGGATTTCTGCTGAGCTGTCCAGTCTACTTCATGAGAGAAATAATGCTTGGGCTAAGGCTAGGAAATCAGGCTCAGAGGTAGAATGGCTACGCTTTAGACAGCTAAGAAATAGCTTCACATCTCAAATAAAAAGCGCTAAATCAAAATACTATTTGTCAGTTACCACAGAAAACCTGAATAATCCTAGGAAATGTTGGAAAGCCATAAAATCGATTTCCACTGGTGATATCCCAAATGAGCTACCTCCGTGCCTCACCACAGCATCTGGCATTATATCAGACAGGGCTACTATGCTAAATTGCTTTAATAAGCATTTTGTGTCTTGTGGCTCTCTATTTGATTCTGTCACTGACTGTACTTCTGCTTCTGTGAACGCTCCAATCCTTGACTCTGAACAATGTGGTCTGGAAAACCCTTTCAGTTTTACTCCTTTAACTATTGGTATTGTTCATGAAGCATTATCCAAGTTAGATCCTAGGAAACCGGCTGGCCCGGACAACTTAGAACCTTTCTTTTTAAAGTTAGCTGCAGATTTTATTGCTCCACCTCTTACTTCTCTTTTTAACCTCTCCCTCAGCACAAATAGCCATAAATAAAAAAACGTTTTGACCGTTGGTGCTCATCCTAATTTTCGGCCTTGATGTAACAACATTCATAATTAAGTAAATGTAACACCCTTTTCATCCCGGTTACACTTTTCATTTGCCCTGTACGATGGGCGCTGTAAGTGATGAAAATGGGGGATGTTGGCTTATCTGGCAACCGCAGCTCACAGCCAACGTGAGAGGGAGCGAGGGAGAGAGGGAGGGTGCACCGGTACGCGCTGTTGTTATTAGCATCTGGTGCTAACTGCTCTAATGGATATTAGAAGAAGATGTTTCTACAACAAGGTGGAGGAGAGTCCTCTCCAGTCAGACTGAGAGGCTGATAACTACAGCTCAGTGAGGTAAAGGACTCTGAGGGTTTAGATAGTTCACTTTAGTCTAAGTTATTGCAGTGGGTCTCAAACGTTTTGATCACAATTTATGTAAACACATATTTCCAAGGCACTCCTTTATAATTATTGGGATAAAACAGGTTTGAAATCATTCCAATGTATACTATAGGACAGTAAACCAGACATATCGTTTTAAACTGGAGAGATACAAAAATATGCATAAATAAAATAGTAAAATAAGATATGAATGAACAACAAAAATAAAATACGTTACATGTATTTGTTATTGGCTATGGTAGGTTATTGGTTATGTTCACATACTTATTTAATTATTAAAATGTAAACCGATCTTTTTCATATGGGTGTTTAGAGTTGTACCCCCTAGATCTAGTCTCTAGTAATTCTGCTTAAAGTGCACCAGATTGAAGCATTTTGCTTTAAAATGTTCAAACATTTCTTCCAGGTATGCCTGAGAAGGCAGATATGCTTGTTTTTCTCAACAAGAACTGTTTTTAACGATAAAACAGAATATTGTTGTTCTATTTTTAGACACATCTCGCGATCGACTAGGAATCTCCCCGCGATCGACTGGTCGATCGCGATCGACTGGTTGGGCACCCCTGCTCTAACCAATGAGCACCTGCATGTGTATGAGAATGGCCCTGACACCATTTCAGCCCAGATTTACAAACTCCTGGCAGGACAAGCTCAAACTCAATTCTCGCACTGAATTTAAAAAAAGTGAGTGAGGGACTGCAATATAAGAGGGAAAGAAAGAGAAACTTTAAAACTGTTCAATTGTTATGATGTGTAAAGACTGATATTGTTCTATAATTGTCTGAAACTGTTAAGTCATGATGTGAAACGGTTAACAAAGAAAAAGGGAAACTCAAGCTGCTGCTACGCTTTATTGTATTTATTTAAAATTAAGCACTTTTAAGATGCACATATTTTCAAAAGCTATTTTATTTATTTTCTCTATTTTATTTTTAAATGCAGCCCGAGAGGAACATTACACATATCCACAGTATTTACTGTATATCTGTATAGTTCAATGTTAATTGACAATAAATAGTTGTTTTTGAATTGTACTTTCTTTATTTGATTGGCAGTCAGTTATTGATTACATGCAGACGTTGATAAAGCTATAGGTCACTTCAATACATATCACACTAATTCATGAAGCAAGTTAGAAATGTTGATGTTCCGGACCTTTGCATGGGGAGATTTTCACTAACTGGACCTCGTTGAATTTTAGTTGAATACCCCTGGTATAAAGGGATAGTTTTAGTAAGCACTCTATAAGAGCAGACAAATCTTTATTTGTATGGAAAATGTTAAAGGTAGAGCTAGTACCAAGCCAAATATGGTATTCCAAATCTAAAATATTGATTTCACCATTGTAGCATGGTTATTACCATAGGAGAATTGTTAAGGTGGAAATAACATTTGTTTGTCGTCCAAGATGTAGAGTTTTAAAAAGACACTAGGCAAAGAGCGATTGAACATTTTAATTTTGAAAAAAGTAATATAATTGGGAGTAATACATGCGGGCAGCGGCG